CCTCTTGTCATCAGAGGTACTCTTATCAGTAAGTGCAGCAGGTTGATCGACCCATAAAGTAAGGTCTAGGTCCATGACTCCGAGACCAATCATAACGTTCTCTTGCCATGCCCTGAAGTTTGTGCCATTTAGCATTGGAATTGAATTGATGCTAGCAGAGATATTAGCAGCAGAACCTGAAACTGAATTAGAGAACATTTATTATGAATAGCTCACATGAGTATCTTTAATATGCAAATAATAATAATAATCTCAAATAGTGGTAAGGCCCATCACAAGATACCAAGCACAACATCAATATCTAGTCTTTGGACAGAGATATTGACTTGTAAGCGGTACTCTTGGCGTAGTGATCAAACATTGACGATAAAACAACGTGTCAATCAATAAACCTTTCTTTGGACCGATTTATTGATCACACATTAAACCAAATAATCGTCACACGTTTATCACCACAGGTGCACGTGTATTCGGCTAAATATTGACCTTCCTTTGGGCCGACCAATATTCCCATGAATAACACGTACACAAACACTTTTTAACATTCTAGATTAGTCAATTTTCACAAGAGAGGTTGCTTTGGCAACATATTGCTTCAATTAACTAACTTTCGAATATTATATCTCTTTAAAAGAGTCTTTAGTACCAAAATTTGAGAAAGAGAATCACCAATTTTGCATATTTTGATTAGTTTTAAACTTTAGGGGCCTTAGGATTAATAATTCAAAACTTTAAGGGGGCAAAATTAATTAATTTCAAACTTTAGGGGTTGAAATTAATAAACTTAAAACTTTAGGGACCAAAAATTAATTAATTCAAAACTTTAGGGATCAAATTTTAAAAATTTGAAACTTTAGGGGTCAATTTGAATTAATTATGAACTTAGGGGGCCAATTTGAATTAATAATTAAATTTTGAGGGCTTTAATTATAAATTCAGAACTTTAATGGCCCGAATTAATTAATTTTAAAAGCTTAGGGACTGAATTATTAAATTCGAAACTTAAAGGCCCAAATCTTAATATAACTTAAAGGTTAGGGACTGAAACCTTACTTTTACAACCCTAACCCTAATTGCAACCAGGGGCCTCAACTTATCTAATTTACACAAGAGGCCCCCGCCCCCATAAAATCGGCAGAAACACAGAAACCCTAAATTTTTTTTTTTTTTTTTTTTTTTACTTCTGGTAGCGCGCCGCCCGGAGTCCGCGCCTGTAGCACCGGGTCAGTTAACAATTTATCCACTTTGGTGGATGTCTAACCAATTACTAAATACACAAGTTATAATATTATTTAAAGCTATGAATTCCGTGCAACAAATCTAGAATTCATAATAAAAATGGATTCAACAGTTTTGATTCCAATTTCATGTCAAGGCCGCCGAAATTATATTGCTAAACAAATGGAATTAATCAACCGACAACCTGAATCTATGTGGCAGCCATAATTAGAATCCATAAACTGAATCCCCAAAAAAAAAAAAAAAAAAAAAAAGAGTTCTTTAAAATCGACCGAAAATTCTAGAAAATTTTAAACTCAAAATCTGTAATCTTAAATTCCTCAAACTGAATATCAAAGATTTATTCCAGATCTGAATCAGGAATATCATGCAGTAGAGTTTTCAGATTCAACAAAAATTAAATCCAAAAAATTGTTAAATCTGAAAACTTCAAATATATTGCAAGAACCAAATTAAATTATTCGATTCTCAATGATTCAACATGAAGAGGCTCTGATACCACTTGTTGGATAATTTAATTCTTTAAATACCGGATCTTTCATGTTAAATCATCAAGAAATATAATAATTAAAGCGGAAGCATACCTGAATCTGACATGGTTAATGCAATATGGATTTCGCGGTATGATCTTCCAAATCTACACGCAGTCTCCTATTCCTCTCTGTGATGGGATGCAGTAGAGAATGAACAATAATCTGTTTCGTTGCGTGTGATCTGGGGACCATAACCTATTTATATGAGGATGCCCTTTGACCTAATTCGGCCCATCATAGAATTAGGACTTGGGCCCGGTCTCTACACATATGTAAACCCATACTTTAATTGGATACATTAAAGCCCAAAAACCGAAACCTTATTAGATCACTTTAATCGGGCTCAACCGAATTCGATAGCCTATAATTTAACACACAATTATTTACACATACAAGCCCATCTTTAATTAAAAATCCTTACACAGGCTTCTTATGTGATTGATGTCAATGGCAATAAAAGGTTCATTTGTTTTGACTGTAGGTGACCAAGTTCTGGCAAGGTCTAAACTCCATTGAAGAAGTTCAGCATAATTTGATTGCTCCAAGTGTGCTTGAATTACTGCACCAAGGACTTGGTTTAAACACTACTCAACCCCCTTCAAGCTCTTCATTATCGTCTCCTACAAATTCAACTGAGAAGACAATTTTTGAGTGGGCAGTTAAGCAGTTAGGGATGGATGTGGAAAGTCTGAAGAAAAGCTGCACTATTCTCGAAATCGAACCATTCAATTCGAAGAATAGGCAAAGCGGGGTTTTGATGAGTAAAAATGGCGACAATACGATTCACGTACATAGAAAGGGAGCTCCAGAAGTGATAATTCCAATGTGTTCTCATTATTATGAGAGTACTGGAAATGTAAAAGTGATGAACAAAGGTTCCAACGTTTTATTTGAGCAAATTCTAGCAGGCATGGCAGAAAATGGCTTCAGATGTATAGCTTTCGCACACAGGAAAACATCAATAAGAGATTATTTCACCTTCTCTCGACAGCAGCTGATTCTATTAGGCCTTGTCGGATTGACAAATTCGCGTCGAAGTGGAACAAGGGGAACAGTGGAAGATTGCCATAGAGCTGGAATCAACGTCAAATTGATCACCGGAGATAACAAAGTAACTGCCACAATCATGGCCACTAAGTGTGGAATAATTGAGCCTGATTACCAGCCTGGTGAAGTGATAGATGGTGAGGAATTCCGGAAGTTTAGCTTAGAAGAGCGAATGGCGAAAATTGAAAATATCTATGTGCTGGCAAGAGCCACTCCTGATGACAAGTTACTTATGATCCAATCTTTGAAGCAGAAAGGCCATGTGGTTGCATTCATTGGACGAGGAATCGGAGATGCACAAGCCCTTAGAGAAGCAAATGTAGGACTTTGTTTTGGAACCCAAGGGGCAGAAATTGTCAAAGCATGCTCAGCCATTGTAATGTCATGCAAAGATTTTCCTTTCATCATTGATATTTTGACATGGGGTAGGGGAATATACGACACTGTCCAGATTTATACTCAGTTTTTGCTCATTGCAAGTTTTGTTGCTCTGGTAATGGACTTTGTGATGGCTGTTTCATCTAGCAAACCCCCTGGTTTGAGTGCTGTGGTAGCTATTTCAACAGGAAAAATTCCATTTCCGGTGTTTCAACTTTTGTGGATGAAACTGATTGCAGGCACTTTTGCAGTTCTTGCACTCAATATAGAGAAGCCGTCTCAAGATGTTATGCGGAGGCCACCAAGAAACTTGAAAGAGCCATTAATCACAGCCCAAATGCGTAAAAAAATTGGGGCTCAAGCTTTATATCAGATAGCCATCTTTCTGGTTATACATTTCAAAGGCAAATCATTATTTAATGTAAATGATAAGGAAAAGGATTCTTTGGTCCTTAGTACATACATTCTCTGTCAAGCCTTCAACATATTCAATCCCAGGCTTTTGGAGAAGAACATTTTTGAGGAGATGCAAAAGAAAAAACTCCTCTTGAGCATCATCGGACTAATTATTTCCATTCAATTTATAATGGTGGAACTTCTGAATGGGTTTTCAGGGACAGCCAGGCTAGGATTTGGCCAGTGGGGCTTGTGTATAGCCTTTTCTGCTGCACCTTCTATGGTCACTTGGTTTGTTAGGTGCATTCCTCCTCTGGGAAACTTTAAGTTTCCAATGTTGAAGCCTAAAATCGATTAGTCAAGCGCTCTATCTTTCATTATTCTCTAGTCAAAATACAGAATCTGTAGATTGCTTCGAAATCTGTGTGCTGTTTTCTGTTTTCACATTTTGCTCTATCGAACTTTATGTGGTCAATGTTGAAGTGTAATATCAATTAGGTAAATTTCACTATCTTTCATTATTCTCTAGTCTTTGGTTTATCGAGCAGCACAAACTTAAATTGGAAAATATAAACTCAATAGAAAAACGAGAAGAAGAACAAGATATGTTCGCCCCAATTAAGTGTTAACATATTAGAGTGCATGACTCCAATGCACTATAAATCGTGACTAACTCCAACTTGTAATAAACAAAGCATTAAAGAGAATCCTTTATATAGGACGGCAAACGGAGGGGCTGTTAGTTTCTTAGCCAATCTGGGATTATAAACAATCCCTTTACAATTGGAAAATTAAAAATCATATTCTGCTACACAAATACAATCACATTCTAGTTAAACAATATCAAGTCAAAATCTTAACAATCCCCATATTGACTTTGAAGTTTTCGATGTCTCCGAATAGAGTTTCTTCCATATCTCTTCCATATCGAATGACATACTATGCTATAGTCGTTCCTCTTAAACCTTCTTGATCACACCATTTGAGAAAACTTTTGGTGTACTGAGATTTACCATACGGAACCATAAAAAATACAAGTACCACACAACATAAACACATAGGACAAAATAGATTTTCTTTTATCCTATCACGTAAACTGTTGCAATTTACATACCCTTTTAACTTTATCCACTCGTTACTTTGTTTAAAGATTAGCCCTAAAGTTGAAGTTCCTTAAGATACCTTAGGAACCACATAGCTACCGAATGTTAAAAGTCCAAGGGGTTTTCATGTAAATACTAAGTATTTTGGTTTCCTTGCAGGCCTTGTACATATCATATTGTACATCACTGTACCTTCATCATTAGAGTATGGACCTTTTTCATGTGGTCTATTTCTTCTCGAGTTGAAGGACATCTTTAATAAGGTAAAATGACCTGCTAAAGTTATTGAAGTCACTTTAGTTTCAGTCATCTAATAGTTAATTAACACTTTTTTGTTATAAGAATATCGTTTCAATACAAGAACAGTGTATTCCATTCCTTAGTATGTCAATACCGAGTGTTTTTTTTTTTTTATTTTTTTAGCATTAACTATGTCCATTTTCTCAATTTAGTTATTTGAATTTTTCTTAATTCTATTTATTTCATGCATATTACGACTTATAAATAATGTATCGTCATCGTATAGTAACAAGTATTAAAAAATATATATGTTTTTCCTACTTGTTTTGAAAAATAAAAAACCGGGTTTTTTTTTTTTTTTTTTTTTTTTTTTTTTTTTTTAGCATTAACTATGTCCATAAATTCCATTTATTTCATGCATATTACGACTTATAAATAATGTATCGTCATCGTATAGTAACAAGTATAAAAAAAAATTGTTTTTCCTACTTGATTTGAAATATAAAGCACGCCATAATTACTTCTTTTGAAGCCAATTAGTTGAACAAATGAGCTAATAAACCTTTTATACCATTTCTCAGTAGATTTTTTTAAACCACATCGTTTTCTTTAGAAGACAAATAGAATCAGATTCACTTTCCTTCACAAAACTTTCAAGTTGACACAAAAAGATATTTTCTTAAAGCTCACCATCTAAAATGGCAATTTTTACATCCAATTGCTCAAGTTTTAATAGCTTAGAATTGCATTTTCATGTTTTGGACCACATCAGCTCAATTCCACCAAATGAAGTTATTGTAGCATTTTTTTTAAAAAATTTCGATTTTTTTTTTTAAGATAAATTTTAAGAATTATTGTAAAAAAATATTTCCCTTTAATTGACAATTTTCATGTAAAACAAGGCCAAACGAACATAAAAAGATAGATGATTTTCTTGAAATTTTTTTTTTTTTTTGGCAATAGAAACAAATTTCATCCCCAATACCAGTAAATTATATCTCTTTAATTGATAATGTTCATATAAAACAAAGCCAAATAGACATCAAAAAACACTTTAATTAAAACATTTTTCATGTGGAAAATTATATCAATCAAACACAATAATTTACAATTTTCGGGAAAACAATTTCCAATCAATTCAATTCCCTGAAATTCATTTTCTTTCCATCCAAATTCCATATTTACAATGAAACGGACCCTAATTGTTGTAGGAGTTGACAATAAACTTTTTTTTTATATTTTTTTTTTTTTTAGAATGTGTTGCAAAACCTGTGGGAGACAATAAACAAATAATTACTAGACGGAACCCCACATGACGGCATCGACAGAAATCGCATTTTGGACATTGACCGTTCGATGCACAGCTACAAAAATTTCTCCTATTCACGGAAATACTTCATTATTTATTCACTAGCTATTCACGGATTTAATGCGTTCTTTGATCGTTTTCATATTACTCAAATTTTAATCATGACATTGACATTGATTTTACAGTTTGAGTCCCAATTTTTTTTTTTAAATGAGTTTTTAATAGTGAATTTTTTAAGAATGTGTAATTAAAAAAATAATAATAATAAATCAAACTCGCTTAGGCTTCCAATAAAAGCAGTAATTAAGGTCTTGCTCATCCCAATTTAACCCTTTTTCTATTCCTTTGAATTATTCTCCTTTAATTGTGGGTTATTTTACCTATAAAAGCAGTAAATACCCAATTTGTGAGCAGAAATTCATTCATTTCATTAATATTGAACCCGTTAAGGCTTCCAACAAGTGATTGAAACACACTTATCAAACAATCGCTACTACTTAAGGTCTTGCTCATCCCACTCAAAATTTTCTACTAGCACATTCAAATAATACGTGATAAAAAAAAACAACAATATTAGATATATTGCCCAAAATATCAATGAGTGTAAAATTGTATAATCAATTCATAAATATACTTCCAAATAATGCTACCAAAAACAAATTGAGCTTATCCAATGTTTGACCCGCGTCTCTCTCTATGTTTGTGTAAAGTCACTTGTAATCATCACCTAGACATGAAAAAAGTTGTAGAGAAGGAATAATTGCAAAATTGGTGCCATCCCGACCATTAATGGCCATATCTTTCATTTCCCACTTGTGAGATTCATCTCTCCAAATACATACTTCTTTCTTGAGATGTTAATCTACTGGTTTCTCTCAAATCACTCATTTCAGGTCTCATTGACAATATCAACCATCTAATCATGTGATGAGTCTCTCCAAAATTGAGTGTTTCGAAAATTAAACTTATACTACGTAATTCAAACACACTAGTTAACTAATCCCCCAAGTTAATTAAATGCACGATTTCAGCTAGAATAAATTTAACTTATATTGAAAAAGAAAGTTAAATATAATAAGATTGTTGATTGTCATGAATGTATTAATAATATTAAACTACATATTTGAAAATTGAAAATAAATAATGATAGGGGAATTCGTAAGTCCAATACAATCATTCCATAATTTGATAGAAACAAACTATTTTTACATAATTTTTAGAATAGCTTATAATAATTACAAGCAACAATCTCTTTTGATTACTACAATTCAAAAAATAATCATAATAAATAAATAAATAAATAAATAATAATAATAATAATAATAATAATAATAATAATAATAATAAAGCAAAACGAACAAACAAACTGGTGCACTTGAATTAGAATTTAATCCTCGTGGAACATTACTTAACTCATAACGTATTACTTGTGAACAGAGACGGAGTGAAGTACCGCCTAGTGCTTCCAAAGCCCTTGTCAATTAAAAGGCCCAAAAAAATGTTTGAAATGTTTTAGTTTTAGTCCATTAGCCGACTAACCATTAATCAGCCCACCCCATTTTGTAAATTCAATTTCTTATTGTACTTGGCCCAAAAACTTACCCAATTATAAAACAAATAGGGAAAAAAATCATATTTCATTTGTATTCTTTATGTCATTCCAAAAATCAGGTAAATAGTATGAAAATTCAAATATCAGGTATATTTTTAATTAATTAAAAATATTTATTAAATAAAGATAATAAAATCACAGTCAAACGATTCATGGTCACAGATTCATAATTATAGGTCAGTCACATACACCTAATTTTTGCTCACAAATCAGCGAAACAGTTGGTTACAGACGGGGAAATAGTTGGTCACAGATTCCAAATACCCCTACCACCAATCCCAATCCAGCACCAATCTTGGTCACAAATCACCAACACCCCATCATCGCTTGCACCACATCACCAGACCTTATCCCGATCCCATTCCACCACAATACTTGGTCATAAACACTACCTGCCACAACACCACCACACACAAACGACCGCCACACGCAAACCACCACCAAGTCACACTGGTTGCAATGTTTTTCTCACCAAACAGGTTACATTATGCACCAAACACCCAACCTGATCTAATCCACCACTAATTTTTTGCCACAAATCAGTCAAAGTTGGTTACAAACGCCTAAATAATTGGTCACAAACGTCTAATTGTTGGTCATAGACATCCACCCATCGCTACCACTGCAACAACCATTGTAATCACCCGGTTTACACCACCACTGTAATCACACGGTTCACACCACCATTGTAATCACACCGTCACCAATCAACCACACACCAAATTCCAAACCATCAATCGCGACATCACCAGATCGTGAATGCTTTGCGCACTACATGTGATCACCACCATCACCTCCAGCACCACCACAAAAATCACCACAAAACACCACACAATCAATCTCCGCCATCGTGCACAGCTACACTCTGAGCAAACACCGATGAGGTGCACCTCGAACAGCGGCAACGCCGCCCCTTGCGAGCAGTAGGCGAGGCGCGAACAGCAAAGGAGGCCGCGAAGCAGAGAGTCCTCGCAACGTTGAAGTGCCGCCAAGCACATACAAACCTCCAGCGTGTATCTCATTGGAGAAAGCCAGATTTGCAGCGGCTGAGACATGAAGGGGTCACGGGAGAAGAGAATGAAGAGAGGGAGTAGGGTTTTTTTAAATGGTATTGGGATGAGTTTGGAATTGAATTGGGATAGGTTGATGTATTTTATTATTAATAATTAAATTAATGCCTGGATATTGAATAAAAAACTTTTCCATTTGATTTTTGCATTATGATC